AATTATGGGTTTTGTATTTTATTTTAATAGAAGTTGATGTTGCTTTTGCAATTATCCATCAATTTTTTAAAATTAAACACTATCTACAGATTTGCATCGAAGCGTTTCTTATGATAGTGATTTTAATCACTGTCAGATTAAATTTAGACTGAACCCAACTATGCAATGTCTCCACTATGCCGCGACCCCACTGTGCTACCGTTTTTTTACTTAAAATTATCATAGTTTTTTGAACAATGGATGACTAGACACAAATTTTTTTTTTTATAGATAAATTAAGTAATTACCTATCATTTAATGTATTGTTTTGAAAATCTGAACCTTTACCTACTCACAGAGAGAGATTCAAAATGATAACTTATAAAAAAAACACTTTTAAAGCACATTGAACAAAAAAGTTGAAAATAATTTTTCAAACAAGCTTAAAACAATAATGAACGAAAAATATGACACAAAGGGCCCACGCTTTTTTTCACAATAATACTATTATTTTTCGTTCATTATTGTTTTGAGTTCATTTAAAAATTATTTTTTAATTTTTAGTTCGATATGCTTTAAAATCATGTTTTTTTAAACTAAATTTATTTTCCACTTTTTGGTTTTTTATGACATTGCTGTCATAGTCACGGAGTGTTTATTGTCAATTATGACTATCAATAGAAATAATTTCTGTATTGCCCGTTAGTGTTTATAAACTCACAACAATGTGTCTTACTACCATTGATAATAAAGGCTATAAACCTGCGAATATCGTCATAAAAAACCAATTAGCTACCTATATTTGTTGTAATCCCTTATGTATTATACATGTAAATAAAATAAAAAATAAATAGGGACACCAAAAAAAAAATTAATATAAAAAATTCGCCATACGTCCTTTAGAGTAGGGGTCAAAAAAAATTTAATATCCAGTGCCGGAAATTATTAAGAACAATTCGAATCATAAGGCGTTAGTTACACATTATTCTAGAATTATTAACTATGTAATACTTTTTAAGTTCATCCCTTATACCTGGTAACGATGTCAACTTTGTTTATTTAAATGGGAACATATATTGAATTTAATAAAATGTTTTTGAATTTAATAATAAGTTACATTTGTTTTTTATATTTTTTATGACAATTGGTGTCACAGTCACTGATTGTTTATTATCAATTATGACTATCAATAGATATAC